ACAGAGACAGACAGACAGAAAGAAAGAAAGAGAGACAGAGACAGAGACAGACAGACAGAGAGACAGAAAGACAGACAGGCAGAGGGAGGTTGGTTGTTTTTTTTTGGTGTTTTGCGGCGCTCACAACTGCATAAGGTCATATGAGCGCACGAGACACATTAAACTTTTTCAGTTGGTAGGAAATTTTGAATTTTGCCTGGGTGGCGGCCAAAGCTTACTCTTATCGATTTTAGACCACCAATGGATCTTTATCGAGCACAACTTGCACACGGGCCCTCCGAGATGTTTTGACCTTGTCCGAGAAGGCTAGTTTTAGATTTTTCCTACCAGAAGATCAGGGGTGTGGCTGAAAGACAACAGTTAGAAGGGGCCAAGGGGTAGCTCTAGAAAGGCTTCAGAAAGAATCAGAGCCCAGGGGAGGGGGCAAAGGAGATGAGGGAGTGGGGGCAGAAAGAGGAGACGAAAGTAGACGACAGAATATTGCTAGATAGCAGGAAAGGAGGTGAAAAGAGACAATTTTAGAGAAGAAAATTTTTCGGTCGCTACCCGGAATCGAACTCGGGACCTTTGAATGAGAGGCCAACACCTTAACGTCTAGGCCACGAGAGCCAACTACAGAGAGAGAAAGAGAGAGAGAGAGAGAGAGACGCATTAGCCGGGGATTTCTTCTTATTAAAGGTACAGATGAAAAGCAAGTAAGTAGGGTGTAAATTAATGTTGCACGTGTCTGGGTTCCGGGATCAAACCGCTTGCTCTAGATGAAAGCCGCCAGCGATAGCAGATCATTAATCATCATTAGCAGAAGCCTGTACTCGGCGCAGAAATACAGGGGCTGAATTATATAACATAAAGCTTGTGAACCCAAACTCCTTCAACATCCCCCCCCCCTGCCAATTCATTCTTTCATTCTGGTCATCCGTTTCTCTCTCTAATTTTGTTTTTCTCTTTCTAAACTTTCCACTTGTTGTTGTTGTTGTTGTTCTTCTTCTTCTTCTTCTTCTTCTTCTTCTTCTTCTTCTTCTTCTTCTTCTTCTTCTTCTTCTTCTTCTTCTTCTTCTTCTTCTTCTTCTTC